TAAATCCGTAGTTTTTTTATTATTATTATTATTACGTATGTCTTTAATTTCATATTGGCGATCCGTATTTTTTCCCATGAGTCATATGACCTTGAGCCCTTCTCGGACAAAATCATCTCTTATATTACTTGAAAAATTATTTAAAAAAAAAAAAACTTGAAAACCCCTTTCCCCAAGGGGGGGGGGGGGGGGGGGGGGTTTATTATTAAAAAAAAAAAAAACTTAAAACCCCTTTCCCCAGGGGGGAAAAACTGTGATTTTTTCTCTTTTCCAGGCTTCTGTTTTTTGCACAGCTTTCACCCCAATCCTTTTCTAGAACAAATTATGCTTTATCATTGATCATCACATTCATTCGAATAGGGAGAGTGAGACGTCCCTGATTGACAGTTGCACGTCTATTCCCCAGAAAAACCAGGTTAGAAGAGGCAGTAACTCTCAAGTTTGAGTCTTCCTATAATCATAACAACAACGACAAAGATAAAAATCATTTCCAAACACTTTCAATATGTAGGTAAAGGACATGACTTATTGCATGATCGTAGAATAGCCTAGACTTTAGCAAAAACAAGGCAAAATTTACTGTGGACATAAAACTTTACTACATAATTCATACTATTATTACAATTGCTTATCTAAAACTTCCCAAGTGCTAGGTTACAAGCAAAACCAGCAAGGTTAGCAATGGGGAAAGACCACCACATTCACATTTTCATTCTACTGTTGTCATTTTCAATTAACGTCCCTAAAGTATATATCTTTGATTTGACCATCAGGACAGGTCATACATAATTAATATTGTTGAACAAATTAACTTATTTTAATCTCCCAACTAATCACATATGCTTTGTTTTCCTTAATTTTTTATGTGGATAATTTCCCTCCTTTTATTTTGTCACACATGCTTATGAAGTTAATTAACAAGTACTAATCATCATGTCCCTAGCTCTATAGGTTCATAAAGTGATGGCGTTGCATATATTTAAAGGGGAAAGATATCTAGGCACTTGAGGCATTTATGGACATGTTGCACGAGTGATCATCATATTAAGATAATTATTTTCTGAAAAAGAAAAGATCATCAATTATGAACACAACTTTTGCTTTATATTTATCATTTTTTGGACGATACAAACATGCATCCTAATCCATAAAGCAATATGTGTGAATAAAAAATGAATGAAGAGTCTAATACTCTATCGTGTCAAAGGATAAACCATTCGATTATGATAACAAAATAGATAATCTAGATTCCTTCATAAAGTTAGGTCTCCATCTACTCTTCACCGGAAAAAACATCATATATAATACAGGAAAGAGACAGAGAAGCATATACTATATATACGTATACTATATATGTCACAGACGAGAGAGAGTACAAAGACAGAGAACATTATTCATAATGGATGACTAATTAATTATATTATATCATGTCATGGGCTACAATTTGCAGGATGGGTGTGACTGTGACCAGACAGACAAAACCCTAATTTTAATAAATATTAACGCACCAGGTAGAATGACAAGAATGAAAAGTCTCCTGTATATCTGTTACAATCCTTAATAAGGACTTTGCACCAGAAAATGGGTTTCAGCAGGGAATTTAACTTTCTGATGGGCCTACTAATCACCTAAACAACCGGTTCATGTTGATCCACGCTCCTTTATTTGATCAACTACTTGGCTTTAGTGCTGTTCATGCATTAATTAAATATATGGTTAAGCAGTATTTTCAACACAACCACAGACAAGTTCAAAATAATTAGTATATTTTCTACTTCTTCTAGCGTGATGGATAAGGGAGTGATAATGTATGCGCTTTTTGACGTATCGTCATGTGTGTGTGTACTTAAAGAAAATCTTACAACAGGGATAGATTTTTTATATATACACACACTTCTTAATCAAGAACCAATAAGTTTTTAAGGTAAGAAAAATACATCCTTGCCCTTATAACCATAGATTATATATATATACACTTAATTTTTTTTAAATTAAGATTTATAAATATAAAGAATTATGTTTTTTCCATTTCTATAAGCACAATTATATTTATCTTTTTTTACAGTGATGGTAATATAAATAAATTGATTACAACAATCTTACAATTGAACAAAATTAAATATTAAAAAAAACTGTTATAAAAGTGTTTTTTTTTTAAAGCAAACTAAAGGAAAAAAGAGTAATGATGGTAATCTTTTAAAATATATATTAGAGGATAATACTTGTATCATAATAAAAAATGAATTTATTTAGAAGATAAGTTATGAAAGTACTTAGCTTGTTGATTTTATATAAAATTTATTTCTTTTTGCTTTATTAAGAGGTTCGAATGTGGGCTTTGAGTTGCATAGGTGAGAAGTGGCTTTTTACCATTACATAATAATTAAATAATTTATATATATTGATTAAAAATCAAATCTATTTTATTAAACAAATATCGAGTAAACAACAGCCAAACTATGCCTATTTATGTATATTAATGATCATTTGCCTTTACTAGAAGTAAACTTATTGATAATTTTTTTCTAAAATGTTCTGTCACCACCCCTGCTTGGGAGCCAGTTTACAAGCGGTTTTACGTGACACGGGGACTAGTCACAGGTGGTAGCACCTTTCTACCGTCAAGCTATGAGCCCATGACAAGACATACTGATCAGGGAGGAAGAAGCATGTCTGAAGCACCGCACCAAACGTTAATTTGCTTTTTTAATGTCTTCATGTATGCATGCTTTTTATCAATGTTTATGTGCTGCTTTAGCACTAAAGCCACGGTTCTTTTTCCTTAACCTTCATGCTAAAGTGCTTTACAGCCATATGGGGCCAGACCAAACATGAGAGATTTACGGGCTAAGTATGGGGATTATAGGGCATGGCATATGATTACTAAAAATTTGTAAAAAAGATAAAGGGTCGGACTTTATAATTAGTAATTGTAATCCACGCTGCCCCTCACAACGAGGTGGGAGGTTAATTAAAGCAGTAAAATTATGGTGTGATGCATGCAATTTGGTCTGTCACGAGTCCATGATTTATGAGAAAGCCTGGTCAGGCGGATCAATTTGTCTGGTTGAGCTTTGCATTTGTCTTAATTTTAATTTGTTGCTTTTGACTTGGTGATTGTGACAAATTGAATGTTGGACTAGACATCATCCTTTGAGATTATAATTTCTACTTAGAAAAGGGTTGAGATTAGCGTTTTTAACAATGTACAGTTGTAAAAGTCGTAGTTTGGTCTCATAAGCTGACCTATAACATAGCAATCCGCTAATCAAGATCATCATGTTTTGTTTTAAACTAAACTTCTTATACAAGAAAAATAAAACGATGTAAATAGCTTATTGTTTTATCTTCAAACATGATTGTTTCAATGTTTGTTTGTATTGTAATTAAAATGGGTGGATCTACTAATCAGGGGGTTAACCCTGACCCAAGTCTTGGATTAGGTCAGGTTGTATAATTATATTTATATTTTAATGATTATTTAAATTATAAGTAAGTTTGTGGATTAGTTAGAGGTTTAAAGGAGATGTTCTTTTTTGCTCCCATCACATTGTTTTTTTGTCTGGAAGGAGAGGAGACATGAACTAGATAGAGACGAGGCTCGACACATGCGCGCGCGCATATATAATAACCACAAGACATCGGTAATGGAGGGGGACTTAAATGATATTGACGTATCATGTATGCAAAATTAAGATAAGAACAGAAATTCTCTAGATTTTACACAGCAGGTGGCAAGGCGTGTATAGCTGATCATCCTCTCTTGGAAGGAACATGAGAGACCCTAGCTAACCCTTTAAATTATATGCTTTTTTTTTTTTTTTTTTTTCTTATCCGGGTGTTTTCATAACTTTTTTTAAAAGGAAAGATCAATTCCAATCGAAATTTGTGACTATCCTTTTAATAAGGATTTTTCTTTATGGACAAACTCGTGTTTTTATTCTTGTAAGGATACAACAAGACCTTAACTGCTAAATCAAGAATTCATTGATTATATGACATTGATTTGAAGAAAAATGTTTATTTCCCATAATAATTATGTAATTACTATATTGAGCGGTGAAATTAAATAACTCAGGAGATGCATTATTAATTGCAACCCCTACTGATTCTGTTCTTCTCATGTCCTCATCAAAAAAGGAAAAAAAGGTTAAAAGTTAGCCCGTAGCACCACTAATTTGAATGGACTGCTATATATTAGTTGTGTAGCCGAAGGTGGGATGCCCCTCCTCCAAAAAGATGCCTTTTTTCATTTTTCTTTTTGTAATATTAATATGTATTGGAATGAATATTGACTCGAAGAGAAGTAAGCACCCAGACAGCATCTACCGTTTTCTAATAAATAAAATCCTCATTAATAAACGTAAAAGGTGATAAAAATAGTATAATATTCATGTTTTTTTTGGTTTGTCAAGTTCAATAATTATCCTAATCGTTAAATGCAGCCATAAATTAAAGAAGAATTTGAAAATGTAATAATGGTTATTTTTTAAAAAAATATATTAAAATATTTTTTTTAATTTTTAAAATATATTTTTATCATTAACACATCAAAATGATTTAAAATATTAAAAAAATTAATCTAAAATAATAAAAAAACATTTTTAAATTGTAAAGAAAAGAAGGTAAACAGCCCTAAGAACCCAACGACATGAAAGCTAAATTCTTTTATAAAGGCAGAGGCAATCCAAGGCGTGCGCGTATGAAATATTCCATCTGAGAATTTTTCAATATCTAACCCGCCTACCATTATCCATCTAATAACCCACTAATCATTTGATAATAGCGAGGGGCCAAGCAAAAAGCTAATCAAAAGTAAAACGAAACGTCACCACCAACCAGTCGGAAATTCCCTTCCTCCAAACAATCATAACAGCACCAGAATCCTGTAATCAAGGATGAAAATTTCAAAAGAAAAGCAGCTTTTATGTGTATAAATTGACCTGTAAATCTCTCCATTCATGGAGATGTGGATGGTCCTTTTAAGGTAGATATTACTGTACGTACACAGTAATTTTTGTTTTAAAATATATTTAAATAATATCAATTTAGCAGGTTTGGTAGAATTACTCTCAAATCTGTTCTTCAACACTACAATCTATTGGAGGAAAAGAAAAGAAACGAAAAGAAATGATGAAAAGGGAGCAAAGGTCGGATAAGGAACTTTGGCTATGTATCAGGGGTTATATGACAGGGAGCCCATCATGCACCCCCACTCAAGTTCCCCAGAGAGATGAGCGATTCTAAATAAGAATGTAAGTAAATTAAAGAAGTAAAATATGCAAAGAGTCTTCCAGACATCAAAACCTGATAATTGGTTTGACCTTCAAAAGCTGAACTGGCATTATATCTGCGTTTTCTTCTCTGTTTCTTTTCTTTGCTGGTTCCTTACCGTGGTAGAAAAGTGGAGTGGACACCACCATGTCCATCACCTAGCAGGCAAAGTATCCCACTAAGATCTTCTACCCTTTCATGTTTCTCTTGTCCTTTTTCACACGATATCCTCTCCTTCTCTTGCTATCTTCACGGCTTTGAAAAGTAAAAGCTGCTACATCACTCTCTCTTTTTTGTTTCTTAAAATCTATTTCTCACCTGCATTTCAGAGCGTAAATTTACTATTAACAATAAATAAATCGTAAATGAACTGCAACAAATAAAAAGAGACCAAGAGGCACAAAGTTCAAAATTTCACAGCCCAATGCAACTCTTTTGACCGCGCCCCTACAAACATCTGGACAAAACAATGCAGCACTGAGGTTGAAAAGGAAAGGCAAAATGATCAACATGTGAATTCAAATTTGGAGCACATCACACTCTCTCTACTTGATTTCTAACGGCTAAACATGGATTAATAGGACTAATTTCTCTCTCTAATTGTTTTTTAATCCCTGTTACACTCACCTGGCAAGTTCTATAATATTGAAATCACACGATTAAACCCAGCGTGAATTTGAAGGGTAATTCTAACGTTATTGGTCCCCCGCATTGCACACAATTCATTCCATACGGTGGCATGGGGCTAAATTTAATGGTTGCTGGTAGGTACCAAAGAGAATTCATTTGAAGGAGAGTTCCCCTTATTTACGCAATAGAATAATAATGGTCTATAAAGTACTTGAATACTGGTCAAATACATGGATAGGCGCAGTAATATGCAGGCTGCAATATTAAATCAAACCACCAAGAAAAGTAATGAACTTTCCAACCAAGACTATTATACTATTGAGTTTGTTACTCTATTCAAATCCATTGAACGTGATGGGCATTGATATTACATCGATACTCAAAGCATAGATATTTTATTTTTCCTCTCTATTTTGAACTGAAATCAAACAAAAGGGAGAAGTCTAAAAGGTTTTGTCTTCATGATGTTGTAAGAAAAATCGAGACAAAAAATGTTCACCTCAGATGTTCTCAATGCAGCCCTTGAAACTTTAAATGAAATAATGCAATAGTTCCCCTCTCCACATCAGTCCAAGGACCCAATGACATTAGGGAACTTTGAAGGCAATAAAAAGATGTGACACCATAGCCAATATTTACAAGCAGGGTTCCTTTAGCATACGAATGACATTTGATTTATAGGCTAGAGTGTTGGGACGAGGACATAGAATTCAACTGTGTCCTAACCGTAAAGCAAACAATGATAAAAGAGAATTCTTTTTGGGGTACCATGGATATACCTTCAAGCACCCTCAATGATCTGGTTCATCTATAAATGACACAGAAGCAGGAACCGTGAGGTGGTGCCATAGAATGACCAAGATATCCCTAATCCATCACAAGAATCAGTGTCGGTCGACCGACAACAATTGAGAAGGGCTTGCCCACATCACCATTTTGCTTTTTTCTTACATCCCCTGACTTTTATCTTCAACAAAGACGATAACAACTGGTTGCTATGTGGCTGTTTGAGCTTTCGAATCAAACAACGAAAATGACAAGGTGAGCCCACGAATTCACTAAATGACAATTCTAGGCTATTACCTGCTGCTTTTTACGTCAATTTATTTAAGACAACCGAATTTGTACAAGACATGAGCTTTGGTTTAGGTTCCATGGGTCATGCACTGCAATAATGAGAGTGCATGAGCTAAATGTGATGGCTTAACTTAGTCCCCAGAGAGGAGTGTCCACTTTTGGGTCGGTGCAATTGGTTTAAATGGACAGAGACATTTTAAAGCTGGAAAAGCAAAATCAGATTTGAAGTAATGATCAAAAAACTGTAATACAAACTTTTCAAACTCGTAAATTCCCAAACCCCAGCAAGATTTCTGAAAGCCTGAGGTGAAAAATACTTGAACCCCTCTAACGTTTCCCTCTTGTATCATGAGTATCCCCGCTTGATCATTTACATTCAAAGTAGGGTTCAGTAAGATGCTTTGAGACAATAACATGTAAGGATACAGGGTTATCACACAGTAAATGGAAAGAAAGAGCTTACATTTTATTTTTAATGTTTGGTTTTGGTCTTGACATTGTTGAGAATAATCTTAGGCTGTTTCGGTGGAGCTTGCTTGAAAGCAACAGTGGGAGCAATTCTGCAGCTCCTCCTCTGATGCTCTAACACAAGCTGTTCAGCAAACCAATCAAGTTTCTCAAAATTGCTTTGCTCCCCGATCCTCTTGCCACCAAACAGCACAGATTCTACATTTTTCTGCTTCAACATTTCCTCTGCTATTCCAATCAGCATCTTTACATTGTTAGGACTAGGGTCTGTGTCCACATTAGGTCCACATCTTCCCAGATTGGACCCATTTGCCTGTCACGCCAGAGTTAATATGTTTAGCAGATTAAACACCTCTCATATTTAATAACACTGAATCATAATAATAATAAAAAAAACACTGAATCATAATAAATAATAAAGAGATCGGGACGCAGGTGTCAGATAATTTAATCCATAGAATTATTTGGAGAATTGTAATTAAATCATTGCTATTTTAATCCACCTGCTATAAGAAATTACCGAACCTTGGTGAACTAGCCAAACCACCCCCCAAAAAAGAATGGACCCAGTGACGTTGGCCACACAAATAATGAAGCTTGTACAACTGAGGGCATCCACTGCTCATTTTATATTCTATATATGCTTTAGCAGCATGATTAAAACCACATTAAGAGTAGCATTCTCAGCACATTTTAAGATAATAATAAAAAAAAATTATGAATTTCATTCCATATAAAAATAATTATCCACTAGAATGATGCAATAGTAGGTTTGCTGGAATGGTACCTAACAAAGTAAAATTGGAAAATAAATTGGTTTTGGTGCTGTACAATCCGAAGATTCTCCGCCGATTAAACATCAAAAAGAAAGAAGGGAAAAAAAAAAAAGCAGCCTGACTTGTCCTCCACACACACTCTATTATCAACTTTGTATCCACTTTATATAGCAAAAATTAAATACATGGACTGCCTAATAATTTTACTCTCTTCAAATTTCTTTCTTATCATAGGTGCCTAACACAAAGGCGGTGTAAGAATTCCAAAGCCACGGACCGTGTCCTTGCATCTGACAGCAAATAAAGCATGGCTACAAGTGATCCTCGTAATGAAAGCATAGCTAATTATGCCTCTAGCTAATTACTCTATATATATATATATATATCAAAATAAAATCATGAGTGATATTTCTGTAACCACTCATTGATACCACCCACTCTTGGGGAAAATCCAGTCTCCAGCCATTTCTATCAACAATTTATTGCAGAAAAAACACCAGTGACGCCACCGCCCCACCACAAAAGCCTCCCCCGCTGTCCCTTTTCTACCTTCTCTTCCATGCACAGAATTATTTTCATAAAAATGCAATTAAGACCAAGACTCACCACATTAAAGGACGTGGGTTAGCTAAACTACAGAGGAACCATGGTAACTTTAAAGTTAAACCAGATTTCCAGAACCCAACACCAAGAAATCCGAGTCTCGAGGTTGGCGATAGAAAGCAAGAAGACCAGTGGCAAACACACCCGTCGCCATGAGGTAGAGCCACTGAGGGGCTTGAATTTATGGTTTCCCGGGCATCCCTCCTACATGTCGGCTAAACAGAAGCCACTAGACAAAATGCAACACGGACCCCATTTACACTTGCAAACACCACATTTAATTGCATAAAAACCAAACCCAGCTAAATATGCACAAAAATTGTATATGAGTGTAAAAGACACAACTAGGTTAACCATTCCAGCCTGGCCACAACTGTCCTGTGCATTAAAATCAAGCAAACTAAAAACCATGTCCAAGTTGTGTAATACGAGATACCATACCTGAATTCTTACATAGTTACTGCTTCTACACTGACCAAATGCCATGGCCACTGCCTGGTCCACTGAATCAGCCGAACCATCACCTGAAATCCGAGCCATCGGTCGAGCCCACTGCTTGGCCCTCCAATTCTTAACCTGCTCATAATCATAGCTAACCTCAAGAATTTGACCGGTCCCTAATGATAACACCAGCAAATCCTCGACTCCTCTAACAAACGGAAACTCCTGCTTATTATGCAGCACGTGAGTTATGGCTGCCGCGGTCGGGTTGCTCATGGCTAAACCACCATCGACTGCCAAACATCTGGTCTGACCATCAACGGACCGCATTAAAACAGGGTCAAACAAGCCCGGTTCAGCTGATGTTGCCTGACAAACCTCCCAAATCCGGAAATCGAAACTGTCCGTTTCCAAGGCATCTGCTCTAGAAAACAAAAACGGCGCCGTACTGGAAAGATCATAACAAGGGATCAAAACCGGTTTTAAAGTATCTTTCAAAGTCAAATTCCGGCCCTTCTCAGTAAAAGTCTCTTTCATGGCCTTCTCTAAACCGGCTGTGGCAGCGGTCGTACCGGTTGAGCTCCCTTTGAAAAACCGCTTTAAAAACCCAACATTTCTGTTACCAGAAGTGAAAAATTTCTTACCCTGATCAGCTAAAAATTTCCAAGTCTCCTCAGCTTTCATAATCGGACGATTATGATCTTTGGTGCCAAAAAGCATAGCCGTGAAGATTCCACCAATTCCAGTTCCGGCTGCCACATCAAAATAATCAGCAATTCTGGCGTCAGGGTTACCTGATTTCAATTTCAAAGCGTTTTCGAGATAAGCCAATGCTTTGCCTGAAATAATCCCTTTTAGACTGCTACCACCATCAATAGACAATATGCAGATTTTCCCTCGTTGATTCTTGATTGCAGACAACCCGTTGCTGTTGTTTTCTGTGAGAAAAGAAGGATTTTGTGACTCGGGTTTTGCTTCGATTGTTGCAGGAGAGATCTGTTTAGGAACCCAGAGTTTCTGATCATCATAGCCGAAAAGAAATTTGCTTTCAAGAACCGAAAAGATTTCGTAGCTGAGTTTGTCAGTGTCGATGCTGGGTTCTTGCATTTCTGAAGATTGATTGTACTCCATAGAAAAAGAAAGAGAGAGAAGATAAAATGTAATTTGTGAAATTTCTTCTGATGGAATGAACGTCTTTCTTGCTTGTTTCTTGAACAATAATAAAATCTTTTTTTGATGCTAACGCTGCAGACACTCTGCTGCGGCTTCTTTTATCTTAATATGGCTATACAAAGAGTGCGTTGACGCCTAGATGAATTTGCAGACAAATTTGATCTTGCTGCTGAATAATTAAAACTTAATGAATTTAAGACAATAAACTTCCAAGAGAACAAGAAAATATGAAAAGAAGGCTCAACGAACCAATCCTTTCAAAGCAGCACCCCGCGTGTTGTATTTTGGCAATCTTTCATGATCAAGAAACTTAAAAGATTTTTTTTCTTTTCTTTTTTGTCACCAAGACCAGACTTTCACTTCAGTTCAGCCTTGTAAGTTGTAACCAATCATTCTTTACAAGAAAAGAAGTAAAAAAACAAAAAGAAAGGAAATGAAAAGAAACAAGAAACTCTCTCTTCGAAGGGAAAAAGAAAAACCTTTTGCCCAATCCCCAACTCTCTCTGTCACTCTTTATCTCTTCTTCCTCTCCCTGTGTGTGCTGTAGTTATCTTTTATCAGAGCACGCCAAAGCTGGAAGTAGTAGTATCTAGATTGATGCATAAAAAGATTAGCCAGCCACCAAAAAAACAAACAAACAGCTAGCTAGCTAACACGAAAAAACAAAACACAAAAGAAGCCAAAGAGAGGTGTTGGTGTTTATAGGAAGAGGAGCCAAGAACACAGCAGTTGCAGAGCATGTCTGTTTATGGGCTTTTAAAACCAGTTGAACATTTTTCAACGCGGTCACTCCTTCCCCCCGCTCTCTCTCTCTCATAATCTTTATAGTATGTGGCCACCTCACCTACATGAATAGGCAAGGCTTCTACTATTTTAATTTCATTGACCCGTTTGCATTCCTTTCTCTATCCTGTGATATTTTACTACTCTCGATGGTTTCTCTGTCACCGATGTAAAGAAATTAGCCGCCTGGTGATAAAGCGTAAATTCCTCGTTTTATTTTGATTCAAATCCCCCTCAGCCTGTATGGCAAGGTGTTTTAAAAATATTTAAAAAAAATTAAAATTTTATTTTATTTTAAATTAATATATTTTTAATTTTTTAAATCAATTTAATACAATAATCTCAAAAATAATTTTTTAAAAATAAATTTAATATAATGATCTTAAAAATAATTTTTTAAAAATAAAAAATATTATTGATATATTTTTTAAATAAAAAATACTTTAAAAAACAACAACAATCACACTTTTAAAATTTAAATAATAATAAATTCTCATAATTTTTTTAATGGGGAATTAAGTTTCCTCAATTGCTTTGGAGAATGATACTTAGAAATCCTTTCACGTCGTAGCTTTAATATTTTTTTTTAAATATATATTGTTAAAAAGAATACTAAATAAATGTTTTCTAACATTTTGATGCTGGAAATTGTGTCGAGATAAAAAGATGCTTAAATTCAATATCTCTACCGGATCAGTTCTCGACAAGGCATGACAGCCGCAGTTAAAACGAAGAAAACGGAGCGGAGCATTAACGGTTGTACAGATTGTACTTGAACGCTGCTTCATGTCTTCGCTCCTGATTGAATGATCTAGATTTTGCTCACACTGTTTCCCCGTGATCAACGGTCAAATGGATGACGAACAAAGACCGCTGCCTTGTACTTTTTTTTCTCTTTTCTAATCTCTCCTCCCGCCCGGATTGTCCTTGCACGTGGGGTAGGGGCCGGCGGAAGAACGGAGCCGCACAAAAACTTTATTTTTTATTAAAAATAATTTTTTATATATTTTTAAAATTATTTTGACACCCTAATTTCAAAAATAATTTTTAAAAATTAAAAAAATATTATTTAAACATAAAAAGTATTTTAAAAAGTAATCCTAAACCTATTTTTCTTCGCTAAAACATAAAAAATATTTTAAAAATAATCCTAAACCTATTTTTCTTCGCTAAACTAATTCTGTACGCTTCTATATAAAATACACACACAAGAAGACATTGTTTTTATGTTTGCTGTTACTTCTGTGACCTAGTAAACTTCTTTTTAATATATATGTATGTATATAAACTTTTCTATTCTTTATTCTATCATTTGATGGGGAGAGACTGCAAGAAATAATTTACCTAAAGTTATGGTACGGAAATAATTTGGTAAGATTTTATCCAAAATTTTTTTTAATTGTCTATACAAATTCTTGTTTCTTTTTTTATTTGCGGTGGAATGATATGTTTTTTTCCCCAATTAAGCAGACCAATTTTACGAGTCTTCGATGTACGAAATTAATTGGATTTGTTTTTTCCGCTCTGGTAATTGCCATGGTTAGATCGAGGGCCAAAAGGGGCACCATCAGGTCTACGTGCTGGAGGCCAACGTAGGTCACTGTTAGGTTATTGCCGGGGTATAGTTTAAGGTAAGGTGAGAGGAAGCAACAGCTTGGTCAACATTTGAGAATAGCGAATTTGAGGAGGTGGACTTGCAGTTGAGCAGATTTCAGCCCTGTTTTACTGCCGGAAAAATGGATCTAGCCCTACGTCCGATAGTGGTGAATAATTAGAATATTTTAAAAGACTTTTATCTCATATCATAAAAATATAATTTTTTTTGAATAGATAATATATATATATAGGCTTTTTATTTTATATTAAAAAAATAAAATATTTCTCTGGTGTTTATATAATAAATTTTAATATAAAATAATAACTTATTAGAAAATAATAATATTTGTTATGAACTTTAATTTTGAAAAAATAATCTCTTTTGGTTCGGTTGTTTTATTTCAAAAATTAAAACCCAGTCAAATAGTTTTAATTTTATTATTTTATATTAATAAAAATATATATATTATTTTTTGGAATTTTTTTGAATTTTTTGATAGATTTTGGTTTAATTCAATTTTTTTATTTAATTTGATTTGATTTATTTTCAATTAAATCAATTCGATTTGGTTAAATTTTTTTAGTTTCATGCTTATAAAATCAAAAATGAACCAAATCAAATATGTTTTAAAATATTATAATCAGTTTAATTTATTTTTTTATTGTTTTTTTTTTAATTTAATGAATTTGTCAGTTTTGTACTCATCCCTCATCAATAAAAATAAAATAAAATAAAGAGAACATATAGCGATAAAAAAAAAAAAAAAACATGTATAAATTGCTGTGAATAAGTAGAATATTTTAAAAGATTTTTATCTCATGTCATAAAAATATAATTTATTTTTTTATGAATATATAATATATATATATGCATAGAATTCTTATTTTATATTAAAAAATAAAATATTTATTCCAATGTTTATATAATAAATTTTGATATAAAATAATAACTTATCAGAAAAATAATAGTATTTTTTATGAACTTTGATATTGAAAAAATAATCTCCTTTTGGTTTGGTTGTTTTATATCAAAAATTAAAAATCAAAATTCAATAAAATAGTTTTAGTTTTATTATTTTATATTAAAAACAAAAAGGTTTGTTGTTTTTTGGGATTTTTTTGAATTTTTTTATGTATTTTGGTTTAATTTGATTTTTTTGTTCAATTTGATTAGATTTATTTTTAATTAAACCAATTCAGTTTGGTTAAAATTTTTTAGTTTAATTAAAAGCAAACCAAATCAAATATTTTTTAAAATATTCTAACTAGTTTAATTTCTTATTTTATTGTTTAGTTTTAGTTATTTTATTTTTATTTTTTTAATTTAATGAATTTATCGATTTTTTACTTATCTCTAATCAACTAAATAAAATAAAATAAAATAAAGAGAACATATATTTTTCTGCACTTTAAAAACCTTGTCGAGTGTTTCTTTTAAATTTTTATCTTACCATTTCTGTATCCTTTATTTAGAAGAAAAAACAAGTTGAATCCTGAACATTAATCCTGTGTCGAGAAAATATCATTAAAAACACTATCATCAGAGTCTCTCTCTCTCTCTCTCTGTTCTTTGTCATATTTTATCCACCATGAGTAACACGTTAGAAACTATCTCAAAGAGTTGACTACAACAGTGCACCTAAGGCTAATAGAAGTTGTACAATTCCCGATGACCGATTCCCGGCGGCGATTTAATAAGCTTCCCAGAATTATCCGTGTACGGTAGCGAATAACTTTTTCATGTAGCATTGTTATTGGATAACGGGAATGGATCATTATCTGTAGACAATAAAAACAAAAAATGGATATGCAAAAAATGTGTAGAATTATCGTGTCCTTGGTTTCAGGAAGGCTAGTCAATGGCCATGACCTATTCATCTGCATGAAATTAATTGAAACTGTCAAATACTCGTCTCACATCCTCAGAAGCACATCGACTACTCTTTCTGCTAGGGTTTTAATAGACTAAATAAAATACATTTCCATTTTCCTTTTTTCATGGCATTCCTATGTTCCGTTCATGTCAACTGGTCCTCGGGCAAGTTTTTTTGGGAGCCCATCAACTCGTCGTGCAGAAATTGACGCTGGGTTGGCATCGGATTGATGGAAACACCTCCATGTTATCCTGATCCACTAATCTACACAATTTCTTGATAACAAGAGACTGACGACAAGTCAATTGCATCATATCTTGTTCATTGTTTTGTAGATAATGAGAATATATAGATTTTTAATAATGATTTTGCAAATAAAAATCCCCCACTTGCTCAATTATACGCAAGCTCATTGGCAATCATGAAGCCGACCACTAGAAATATTCAATTGATACTTAATTTCTCCAAATTTAACAAGCTAGCTCCCAATGCTCCAATCCCGTCCATCCAATTATATATAAAACATCCCCTCTGCCCACGAAAACTTAGAGGGTCTCTCTCGATATCTCTCTAAAGCTGTTTTCTTAGCTGTTAATTTTCACTTTCATTAGCTTTGTCAATGCAATTAATGGACTCGGAAAGGGTTGTACTAGGAGAATCATCGGCACCAACACCGCCATCTTTCTCCACATTTCCTCTCATAGTATGATGCTAATCCATGAGATTAGAGATCTTTTTGCGAGCACTTAGTCCACTAATCACGGTGAACATCATATTAAGGCCCACTTAACTTCTTATAAAGCTTTCATCCGAGCTCACACGTAACCAAGACAATATATAATTTTTTGAGAATTTTTTTTATTGGACGTCTTTAACTTCCGATAGGCTCCAAATTCATTCCCATACTTAATGAATTATTGTTTCATCAACCTGCTTGTATATAATTTTTTCCAATGACCTTCATCAAATTTCTTGAAAAAAAAGAAAGAAAAAGGAATCACGACAAAACAAAAGCAGAGGGATAGATGGACGCGGAGAAGCAGGGTTGAATGCGTTATGGACATTTGGAGATGGGCTTGCACTGACCCGAAGCTTACAGGGGACAGCAAACACAATACGATGAAGTAAGCAAGAACTTCCTTGGCTTCTGTCCAATCACTCACGGTGGTCCTGTCACATTTCATCAAGTTGATTTCCCATACCTCCATAAGTCTACAGTCCTTATCACGTTTATCTCTTAACCCTTTCCCCTGTTCACGTTCCCGGGTCACAATCCAGCCTACTGGCTATGACTCATCTATTCTCTGTTTACTGGATCCTTTGCATATTAATTTCTTGGTGTCCAAATTAGGTCTTTGAATAATGGGCCTGTCTAATACGTGTCTTCAGAGGAAGCATGTTCACGGTTGACCATCCCATTTTCAACTATGGAATCAAACCGCTGATAATTCACTGTTAAACTTTTTTTTTTTTTAAAGTCTAACAATCCTTGTTGATAAGCTCCTTTTCAAATTTGTGGGCAAAAAAAGAATTAGTCAAAGTGGCAGTAACTAAGGTCGACTAAATTTGTTGTTGAATGGGCCCAATTTTATTTCTCCACTTAGGTACATCTGAAAATATGGTTTATAAGACACAGCATAGCACCCTGGCGTGGTCCAGAATATCCGTAGGTTACAGCGAGGATTCACGGGCCTTGAGCTGAGCTGTTGTTGCTAGAAAATTGGAAAAAGCTCTGAATAGTCCTTCTCAACGTGTCTCGTGGTGTTGTGCGAGCCCATTTATGGGCACCTTTCTTTCAGAAGGCGTATTGAACGGGTTCAGGAGAACAGTGCACGTTCTTGTAAAATGACATGCGAGGATACAGAAACCGCAAAGCACACTGTTTGAATTGCATTCTTGTACTCGGTTCAATGTTTTGCTGCTCAGTTATTTGACAAATCCATGGATCTTCTTTCTAACATGGTCCACTTTCAAGATATTTGGAGGGAGCTTGCATTCATGGTTCATTCATTTCCGTAGATCTTCTTTTTCTCTCTGTCACATGGATACACAGTGCATGCCTTCGTCTTCTTCCTTGTACTCCAAAGGGCACAAAAATGTCACAGTACAATTTACTTCAAGTACAGACTGTACAGTATATACGAAGTAGCTCCCTTCTCTTAATAGTCTTTCCTCTCGATTCTTTTTGAAACTTCTCTTTCAATTGATGCCAGTGATGCACTGATTTAACCATTGGATTCTTTCCTTCCAGCTGTGGTTATCTTTCTTGTGCCTGCAAATGGCAGCAAGAGCAAAGGAAAATTATAACTCGAAGGCCTTTAGTAACCACGGCAAAGAATCGCTGATGAAGTCAATCAATGGCCTACCGATTCTTCACTCCTATATTCACCTCGCTTATTTCTGTTGGTGGGACTCAAGCAACTGATCAATCCAATCAATGGCTTACTGTTTCCATGATATGTATACGATAATTATGTTATTGAAGTCATGTTTAGAAATGCAATAAAATGCTACGTTTATTTGGACAGCTCCTTCTGTTCCTCTTGGCAACACTGTATTACTTTCGCATAGTAACATGTTCCTAGGCAAGTTACTTCAATAAATACATAATTACACATGAATGCTGACAATTAGGGACTAATACACAGGATTACTACTAGCGATCGAGGTGATGGCAGTTGCGTTCGGAGGGTGGTCAGGATTGGAGGGAAGCAGTGACAGGGAAAAAGTCCCAGCTACAATTCCTGTGATGATTTTTGCTTTGGTGAATCATGATCCAGCACCTGGTAAAGAAAATTGCTCCAAAATATGTTTTTTTTTTTTTTTTTATCAACAGAACGCCTCCACGTTTACGATATTCAATATCCCTGCAGTTCTTTGTGCATATTTGGGTGGTGACCTCAAGCGTCTAAGGGCTTCAGTTTTGCTGGGTAGAATCGTTCCTTTGCTGGCATTGCTTGTTTGGGATGCAATTGCACTTGGCCCTTCTGATCAGGCTGGTCACGTTATCGATCCAGTTTAATAATTGCTGACGAGGTAACTTAGACTCTGCGTATTCTATTAACTGTAGAGATGCCCATCAAATTTCTAGTTACGTAGCTCATAAATTAACTGGAAGATGATTAAATTCCTCTATATTGTATGGTGTTTTTTTTATTAATATAAATGTCCAATTAGTTGTATATATTTCAATTAATTTTATAGATTTTAAAATTAATAATTATATAAATTTTTAATTATCCTGAGATTTATAAAATTTAAATTAATAATTTTTAAAAAATAAATTTAAAATTTAATCAATTAAATTATATCCTTTAAAGTTTGATGTGTGATTCTATTTTTTTTTTAGATTAATGTGGGTGTTCGGGCTAGTTTGCGCGCATTACGACTAATTCCACGGGCCCTGAAGTTAAAGATCATGTAAGCCTCTAGTGGTTATCATATGAGCAATCAAGGACTCGAACTTGAAACCACAGAGGGAACAAACTCTTTAGTCCTAAATTCTTACCACTTAACCACTATCTAGATGGTTTGATGTGTGATTTTTTTGCGCCGCTGAGAGATGGAGGTCGGTCCAAGATCCATATTGCTGGCCAATCATACCAAGCTAAAATTTAAGTTAAAAATAACTCATAGCTGCTTCAAGAGAAAGTTAATATAATTTACCTTTTCTCGTTTTCTTTTTTTTTTTCCTCTGTTACCATCACTTTCTCCTACAATATCAAGGATTTTCGATTTTAATCTTAAGTTTTACTTTATGAAAAATTGAAGAAAGAAGTAAATATCCTTCCTTTAATATATTTCTAAATAAAAAACACTTTTTAAATACAAGTAAGTAATAGATATTCTCATTTCTGCCAGCAGTTCTGCACTGTTCTGCCCTTTCAGACAGCCTCAAAAGGTCGACAAAAAAATTATATTGTGCAAACACACTACTATATCAACATCCAGATCTTAGCAGACAGAACCAGTGAGACTGAAACAAATCGCCACAAAACCACATCGATTTGAAAATTAAGAATTTAATTGTTCCAAGATAAAAAAGTTTTCCAGGACGGGTGATAAGAACAGGGATAATTTATTTCTTTGGCGATTTACTCAAAAAAATTATTGCAAAGGAACATAATCAATCAGTCATAAACATATTAGACAGCAGAATACAAGCATTCTCAACAAGCTGGAATTCCAACCCTTAAGTTTAAAAAGTACACGCAAAATACAGTATTTGAACACATCTAGCCTCGCAGACCAAGGAGGATCCTAGTTTTTCACTGTTGTCACATGCTTCAAAAGCATCTGTACAACATCATGGGAGATCCTTGAGGATTCTGTCTTCAGGTGACCGATCTTTGCCTCAGTTTCATGCTCCAATCGCTTCACATTAGCACCAGAGTCCCCGCTGCTCTGTATGATGTTCACACGAGTAGGTTCAAGTCAGCTTTTGAATAACATAACAACATAGCTCCAAGTAGCTAATGGGTTGATCCGAGTTTCATTTAAGTATAGGAGCGACAATGACCAAATATGGCCAACTCTGTAGAATGACTGAAATGAAATTCAAGAAAAGAAGAGGGCCGGTACAGGATATGCAGTGCTGGAGAAGTGTCATACGATGCTATGAATGCAATATAGATTCATCATCACACACGCACAAGTAGAAAAAGTGACTGGCAAATTACTTAATACTTCCATTTCCACATTCATAAGCTTAAGTAGGAATCACTGTAAGGATTGAAGTTAGCAGCTAATATTTGAGATTGCAAGTGGATTTAACATGTTCTCATATCAACGGTTTAATAAGAGTCTTTCATTTGTGTTCTAACCTCAGTAAGCTTCCTCTGAAATTCAGCTTCCATGTGAGCACGAAATTCAGCAATTTCCTTGTCAGCCTCTTCTTTGGCTTGTCTCAATCTAGCCATTTTTGCTGGAGAAAAAGAAACAGAAGCATGTAACAATCAAGATCTGCACCAATGCAGTGACTGCTTGCATCATAAATGCAATTAGCAAAGCGTGAAAGTTTCTTCCAAGTTGTAAAACTTGAGTGTTACTGTATCATAACTGAAAACAAATAGCTAGGCTTCAATTTAAATTTTGAGTGGCAGCTCAAATTTTAAATTTTCCTTTAAACCATGTTATGCACATCTAAGTTGTGGTAGGCCACAGGAAACATGCAAAAAAAATGGAAGCCCAACCTCTAATTGTTTGGTTGGAAGGCAAGAAAAGGAAAAGGAAAGAATGAAAGGTAAGAAAGAAGAAAGACATGCCTTCCTCCCAATTTTAAAAGGATTGAAAATATGACTCTAGATAAAGAAGCGGATCCCTCTCTTCCTTGATCGGGGATATAATTCTTAAATGAAATGAGAACCTCATCATTTCCATTCCCTCCTGCTACTCATCTGTCCTACTCCCCCTTTACCCACACAAATAGAATATGCATGCAAAGTGATGGCAAGTATATATAGAAAAAACAAGGGCAGCGCTTCAATTATTCAAAGCACAGAGGGAAGAAGTGATTACCATTTCTGGCAGTATTGACAATATGCTGAGCTTCTTGCTCCGCAGCAAGCAAGAGTTGAATTCCATTCTGACCCCTGTTGGCCTCCATGCTGAGCTTCTTCCAATGTTATACTGAAATAAAAAGGCGATGAATGCACCTAAAATCAGCACCTGAAGATGCTCCTTCTATTAAGTTATCAAGTGGCCTCGAATCTTCGAGTAACAAAACAAATTTTGATTTGCATTTAGACCCCATCAAAATAAACAAATACGGTAGACAAATATAAGGCCCGACAAGTAAAAAGTATTACAAATCCACAATCATATACAAAATAAGCAAATTGCTATAAATGGATTTTTTTAAAAGCAAAACGACAGCATTTTCTACGGGAAAAAAAAAATCATAATTTTTTTTTCAGGGGTTTTTAAAGCAAAACGACAGCATTTTCTACAAAAATAAAAATAAAAAAAATCATAATTTTTTTTTCAGGGGTCATAATCCTCGAGAAGATCAATAAGTACCGCAAAATCTAACCATCCTATAACTATCAGCTCTATAGATTGCAACCAATGCTCAAACTCCAAAATTCCCAGATTCCAATCACTACTACCCCTTTCAGAAAAAAACTCCTATCTGATTCACAAATCTCACTGATCGGATCCAACACATTCCCTACCCTTAACAATCAAGATCCGCACAAGTGACTGGATTCAATCTCAACTACAAAGAGTAAACTAGATGCACTAGCAAACACGCCAACTCAAACAAACAAGACCATAAGAACCCATTAAAAAATTTCACCTAAGAAACCATCTCAAAGATTTTAGATTTATCACTGAAGTTCCCTATTTTTTTTTACTGTTCAAAAAAATTAGATCAAGAAAAATTTGGCGACCCATAACAGTAAAAGATCCAAGCAAACGGTGCAGTGCGATCTGAGAATCTATGCAGAGGCGCAACCAAAGGAGTAGCAGGAAATCTAGACACGTGAACGAGCAAGAGAGAGAGAACCTGAGGAATCGGCGCTTGCTGTTAGGAGCAAGAGAGAGAGAGAGGGAGAACCTGAGGAATCGGCGCTTGCTGTTTTTCTTTCTGCCCGAGAGATTTTCTAAGAGAAGTAGAAAGAAAACTTATTAGAGCCCAACAAATTATTTGGGTCCTTATTATATTATCTAAAGCTGTCTCTTGAAATTACAAATTTAGTCCTGTGAAGCCCGTTATTGACTGACAAGGACCATTTTAAAAAAAAAAGTTTCTACCCTCACAAAAACAATAAAATAAAATAAAAGTTTTTGATCTAAAAAACAAAAATTCCAAAAAAAGAAAATGTTTATATTTCACGAAGATCAATTTCTAGATCTCCTGTGACTTTTTTTTCCACTTTGTAATCGTGGCGCGAGATGAGATTTTCTTAAATAAAACAATTTTTAAAAGTGAAAATATAGATTTGTAAAATCAAATTCCAAAGAACAACAATTCATCTCTCATCTATCCATAGAGCCTGCTAGGTAAAATAAAAAATAAAAAAATAAAATTATTATTTTTTAAAAAATATATCCTGATTTTCAACCGAGGCCGGGTTATTTGATGAAAATAAAAATAAAAATCAAAGGTTTCATGAACTAAAAATAACTTTTACAATTTATTTTTATAGCAGCCTACTCTTTTTCTCCACTCAAAAAAATTTATACCCGTTAAACATATATATTATTGAGCTTAATAGATGAATTTTTACTAAATTTTCATGAGTTAACGGAAATATTGTTCTATCGAAGTTTTCAATTGTATATTACATTAGATTGCTCTTTTTCTCCACTCAAAAAAATTTATGCCCGTTAAACATATATATTGTTGAGCTTAGTAGATGATTTTTTACTAAATTTTCCTGAGTTAACGGAAATATTGTTCTATAGAAGTTTTCAATTGTATATTACATTAGATTAATTCTTTTTAATTTTTTTTGAAAATTCAAGTCCGCATAAGCCAATGATTAATTAAATAAGTTAACATGTCCGGCCAAATTAAGTTTTTAAATATTTACTTTTTAGATACAATATTTTTAATTTAATCATTATCTAAAATTATAAATTAAAAAAATTAATATAAATTATTTTTTTTAATTACATCCTTTAAAGTTATTTATTTTTAAAAATAAATTTTGTTATTATCTCTATTTTTTTTTTTCAATCAAGTTATCTTTATTTTATGATATAAGTGGAAGGTTTATCCGAATGATCTATATTTTTTTGAAAGTTGTTATTATTTTTTTTTAAAAAAATTAAACTTTGTTAATACATGTGTGTGTGTTTTTTTTTATTGGATTGTCATGAAAAATGTTTTCATAGTACTAGTTGCTGATTTTAACAATTTTATTTGATTTTTTTAATATGTTTTTATTGATTTTTTTTAGTTTCGTCTTTCTACAATTTAATTCTCATGATTTGAAAATTATTAGTTTTTTTAGTTTTTTTTATTATATCAGGTCATTGATTTTTTTTTTTGTATTTTGAAATTCAATGACAACATTTTAACATTGTTTTTTTTTTTTACTATAAATAAATTAGCACAACCCATGACAAAGCGCATGCATCAATCTAGTGCAAGCTATTTTTCATCCTATACCCAATTGTGTTTTTTTTTTTTTTTTTGTGTGTGTGGCCCTTCATCAGCATGCTACCAATTTCACTAAGGAAATGTTGCTTGAGCACAACAAATAATTTTTTTGATTATATCTTGGAATTGAAGGAAATTTCTGTAATTGATAAAACTAAATCAATAATTACAATACAACAATCTCATTCCCATTGCATGATAAAATCAGCCTAGGTGGTTTTAAAAATTGCAAAATCTGTAACCACCTACTACTAGCTGCTGTATCCATCCTGTCAAAACTAGTATGATTAACAATCCAAGTGGAAGGAGGTCGGAGAAAAAGCTCGTAATCTAGGCTGAGAGAGAAAGCCTCTGACATAAGCTTTACAAGTAGCTTTGATTTCTTCCCTTCTTAATCCCAGTTAAAGTTTCCAAACATGCTATAAGCTCTCTCCTTCTCGCTAAGTTTTGATTTTGCCATGTTAAGCTGTTCTGTAAGATCCTTCTTCTCCTCTTCCCACCTTTGCCGATCTTCATCACATTTAGCTTTTACTTCCTTCAGTTCATCTTCATCAACCTACCCATAAAAACAAGAAAACCATTTAACCACAGTACATAAAAAAAAAAAAAAATGGTCTCCGGAAATACACAAATGGGCATCTCATGCAAAACCAATCGACAATTATCAGGCTTAAAGAAATTTTGTGATCCTAAGAATTATACTAACAAACGAAGGTTAAAGAGCTTAAGCTCCTAAACTTTTCACAAACGATGGGCAAAAAACATCAACATTAGTAAATAAAGATTCGTTATTTGACTGTTTTAACAAGTAGAAGCAATGTCTAGGCTTAGTTTCTTCCAAATGAATGAGTTGGGTTTGATTGCAAGAAGTGTTGACATGCATTCATATATGCTTTTCACAAAAATCTGAAAGACAATGCCCGAGGTGATTGAGACCATTACCTTGTTCATGCTGTCAGCCTGATCAAGATTTTGACCGAGACTCTTCCTCTTTATTGAATCCCACATGCAAGAAAACAAAAATGTATGGTTTGCACAAACAGCAATGGCAATTAACCCACCAGCAAAAAAAGTGTCTAATGATACAGGATATCTTAAAAGTACTTGAATCAGAAGACCAGCATAAGCTACATAGCCCGTCCATATAGCAATGGTCCCTGAGCATCTTCTCTCCAAATGAGGGTAATTTGTAATAGGCTCCTCACATAATTTATTTGTGATGGACACAACAATGTGGCATAGTTGCTTGCTAATTTCCATCAATTTGCGTGCGGTAGTGATAGGCAGACTGCTATTGCTACTGTGATCCTGAGTCAACAGAACAATCGCTGCTATCGAAAGTAATATCACCCCAATGTAAGAAAAGATTTGTTGTAGAATGAGAAGAATCGTATAGAAAAGCAAAGCGCCGCCAAGAAGGATTGTTATCTCCATGGAAAGAACAACAGCCTCCCTGCAGACTTCAGGGGTTCTTAACCTAAATGGTGGCACCGCCATTGCGATTGGATCAATTGTTAGGCTTTAAGAGAGATCTAGCGGTGGGTGATGAAATGACATTCAATGGAAATGTTCATCTGTAGGCGGTGAAAAATGATCTCACTGTAGCATTGTTTTCTAATCTGACAGAAATTGCAGCAATATAGGAAATTAATGAAAAAAGAACACTCTTGATTTGGTGGTGAGTCCTATGATTCATCCAAGGACTACACCTGTTTACTTTGGCTAATAATAAAGTCTGAATTTACTAAATATATCAGATTAATTATAGTCAAATGATGTGGCAGGTTGCTACATAGCAAGCTAATCTGTCCATGCAATATCAGGCATGGACCTTTAGGCATGCTAGCTTGCAGAATTTTTGGCAAGAATGTCTTGTTCGGTTCTATAATCTCTCACGACTAACAATAAAAATGGCATACTAACTGTAAATAAAAATATTCATTGGTAAGAAAGGATGTTGTGCACTCTAAATTTCTCTACAAAACCAAAATTCATCAAGCTCAACAAGAAATCCACAAAATGGCAGAACTTCGGAGACTCATGGAGCTGGTCTTCTTGATGGATTTCCAAATCGATAGAGCGACGTTTCTCGTGCATCATAGCACAAGCAGTATCCGGCCAGCCCCTAATAGTGTTCTGGTGACTATTCCTGCCTTCTGCCCCCCACTGAGTCCACCTGAATTTTGCTGTCAGATGTCAGGAGAAGCTTGTGAAGCAGGCGCCGGCTGAGGGGTGGCAAAATCTGCGAGGAGAAGAATAGAGCAGTTTCAATTGGATTGCCATGAGAACTGAAAACTGGAAAGCTGACATGAGTTCAAGTGATGAGCATGATAGGGTATATTTATATGTGCAGAAAGTTGAAAATGGTTCAAGAGGACGTTTTTGCATGGAAGTTTCAAAATGAAAAATAAACAAGTACAATGTTGGCATTGAGGAAACAGATAGGGAAGAACAAAACAGGTATGATCATTGCATTTATCAGCTAAACAAACTAAAATAGAAACTTTAGATTTGCCGGCATGCATTTAACCTGGCCCAAGGCCTGATCATAGGTTGGGAGTGTTATCCCGGTCAATTAAAAAGACATGCTGATTTGAAATTTTTTTAACAAGGTCTCCAAGTTAGCAGGTCAACTTTCACCCTTTGTTTGAAACGGACTTGGCCCAGGTTTTGAGTCACTCACCAAACCAGGTTTAATAACCCTGCTTCCAGCAGAGAATGACCACTTTGATAAAGATTCTTATTATTCATTTCATTCTTATTATTTTTTATTTTAGAACCGGGAATTCAATGGAGGGTATCCTTTTGCGGCTCCCCTAAATTGCCAAAATTTTATACAACCAATACATCAACAGCCTGTTCACAATATATAAATTTCATTTCTGGTTTACTTGTCTCCAAAATGAATAATAACGCGATACAAATTATACCTTGAGTATCACTGCAAGATTATTCTCACGAGAGGAGCATCATTCTACTTGAAGGCAATTCCATACAAGTTATTGCTTGCAATTCAGTCTTAGCTATATTTAGTATACACGTGAAAACACAGACGGACTGGATTGATGAGAATCTGACGGAAGTCGAAGAGCTGACTTTGAAATTCGAACTGAATGGATTGAAAGATTATCTTCCAGAAACTCTTCAGCAAATGACTGCACCACAATATAGAAGATGTATCCAAGATCATACAAAGTGTACAGGAAAAACATATTAAGAAGTAGAGTGGTGATCCTTCCTGTCCTGTTTAGATGTTCAGTTAAAAATTATTAAGAAAAAATCCAGTAAACGCAACTCAAGTACCTTAATACCATCAAAGGTCATTTCACCATGATATAGATACTTGTAACCATTAGCCATGTAAGCTACAACCTGCACATCCAGGAATTTTTAAAATATTTTGATTAAGGCTTAGCACACCACAACTCATTAGTTACAGGAAAAAAAAGCTTGGAAGAAATGGCACAGATAATTTTTAATTTTTTTCCTGTTCTTTTTCTGTTTTCGAGAAAAAGAGGTGCGGGTATAGGGGTACTTACTCTTGGCGAACCTTCAGGCACTCCAAATTGAAAAGCAAGGTTTGCTCCAAGTCCCAAATTTGTACCATCAGTCTCCACATAGACAAATACAAGCTACATGAAACGCAGCAAAGAACCAAAGACATATCATGTTGGTGAAATATAATTGAGAAAACTTGGAATCAATGTGGATTTTAAGAGGAAAAAAACCTCTATCTTTAAAGTAACATATGTCTTGGAATTAATAACCATGACTTCACTTGGGTTCTTTTCCTTCTTTCCTTAGATTCTTGTATTATAATCTACACTTAACATTCACAACCAACAATTAACTATTTGATATATTTAATTTATGATTCGTTGTTGTTAATTTTCCAACATGTGAATGATAGGATTTTTAATGTCATCTGACTACTCCAATTGAGATTTGGAACATTTGACACAAACCAAGCCATGGCAGTTTATCCAATCTTCCAGTTATGCAGGAAAAACCTTCAT